GTGGGGGGTAAGGGATGGTGTCCCTGCCCACGGTGCGGCGCCCAACAGGTTAAACTTTTAAACCTGGAAGAGCGCTGCGGCTGATGCCGATTCTTTCCTTTAGAGATATAATCATAGTCTTTCCGAGCTGTAATCATAGTATTTATTTAAGAATTAAGCGTCTCTGAAAGTGGCCTAAATTCCCCGCGCGCGAGCTGAGGTGATGCCTCGGTGCCTGACTCAGCGCCGCTTCCCGGCTACTCCGGCACCGATGGCCGTGGCCGTAAGCCGAGGGGCCACCTTGCTTTGGGGGAGAGAGTGCTGGAAGAAATGCCAAAAGCCTGAAGGCACCCAGAAAGTAAAAGGAGGGGCAGAAAGTGAAAGGTGGGGACCACAGAGCTGGGTCAAGGAGGGAAAAAAAATCACCCAAGATCAATTCTTTATTTTCTTATATGTATTTATTTAGGGTAAAGGAGCAAGGGCAGCGCGGTGGGGATGCAGCAACACAGGCGCTGGAGGGGGAAGAGCCCGTTGCAGATTTTATAGGACAGAAGGGAAATTAAAACCGACAGAAAAAGCTCACAGACAGACAGACAGACACCCAAAACACCAGGATACCAGGGGAGGGTTGAGCCGCCTCACGGTGCTAAGGCGGTCACCAAAGCAGCGATGGAGATTCCCATTCAGCGCCCCCTTAAAAGCCAACCCCCCCCTCCTCTATTTCTGCCCCCAGCCTGGCTGGAGAGCAGGTACCTAAATATATTATTGTTTTTTTTTTTAAAAATAAATTTCAACTTCTCTTCCTGCCTCGATTTCCGAGGGATCAGCCCGCAGCCGCCTTCAGCAGCAGTTATTGCCTCTCTGTTCTCCCTCTCTCCCTACCCCCAGATAAAGTCTAGTTCTGCCATTTCCCCAGCATGCGTGGAGGGAAGAAAAATATAAATATATATTAAAATACCTTTATTTCCTCACTAAAACCTCACGTAGTGTCCAGAAGCCCTTGGGGCCCTTGAGCAGGCGGCTGTGGAACTGAACAGCCAAAACCACCCACCAAAAAAAATTTAAAAAATAGATTTTTAAAAGCTACAAAGCTGCGGCAGCCACATCCGTCCTGCGGGGAGGGACAGGTACGGGCTCACGCCGGCACTAGCCAAAACCGATGTTGGGTTGCCCAGGGCTAGGGGCCGAGCTCCGAGCCCCCCGCTCTCCCCAGCCAGGTGCCGGTGGCCGCGGATGCTCAAGCACGCTGCGCTGGGGCTGGAAAGCTTCATTGCAAGCAGCAGCCTTCCCCAGCCCG